TAATAGCCTAGCATCCTGTAATACTCCATCCCCCAGACTCCCATCCAGTAATAGCCTAGCATCCTGTAATACTCCATCCCCAGACTCCCATCCAGTAATAGCCTAGCATCCTGTAATACTCCATCCCCCAGACTCCCATCCAGTAATAGCCTAGCACCCTGTAATACTCCATCCCCAGACTCCCATCCAGTAATAGCCTAGCACCCTGTAATACTCCATCCCAGACTCCCATCCAGTAATAGCCTAGCGTCCTGTAATACTCCATCCCCCATACTCCCATCCAGTAATAGCCTAGCACCCTGTAATACTCCATCCCCATACTCCCATCCAGTAATAGCCTAGCATCCTGTAATACTCCATCCCCCAGACTCCCATCCAGTAATAGCCTAGCACCCTGTAATATTCCATCCCCCAGACTCCCATCCAGTAATAGCCTAGCATCCTGTGTCTCCATCCCAAGACTCCCCATCCAGTAATAGCCTAGTGATCCTGTAATATTCCATCCCAAGACTCCCATCAGTAATAGCCTAGCATCCTGTAATACTCCATTCCCCAGACTCCCATCCAGTAATAACCTAGCGTCCTGTAATACTCCATCCCCAGACTCCCATACAGTAATAGCCTAGCATCCTGTAATACTCCATCCCCCAGACTCCCATCCAGTAATAGCCTAGCACCCTGTAATACTCCATCCCCCAGACTCCCATCCAGTAATAGCCTAGCACCCTGTAATACTCCATCCCCCATACTCCCATCCAGTAATAGCCTAGCATCCTGTAATACTCCATCCCCCAGACTCCCATCCAGTAATAATACCTAGCACCTGTAATACTCATCCCCCAGACTCCCCACATCAGTAATAGCCTAGCAATCCTGTAATACTCATCCCAGACTCCATCCAGTAGCCTAGCACCCTGTATTCATCCCCAGACTCCATCCAGTAATAGCTAGCACCCTGTAATCCTCCATCCCCAGACTCCCATCCAGTAATAGCCTAGCATCCTGTAATACTCCATCCCCCAGATTCCCATCCAGTAATAGCCTAGCATCCTGTAATACTCCATCCCCCAGACTCCCATCCAGTAATAGCCTAGCGTCCTGTAATATTCCATCCCCAGACTCCCATCCAGTAATAGCCTAGCACCCTGTAATACTCCATCCCCAGACTCCCATCCAGTAATAGCCTAGCGTCCTGTAATATTCCATCCCCAGACTCCCATCCAGTAATAGCCTAGCATCCTGTAATATTCCATCCCCCAGACTCCCATCCAGTAATAGCCTAGCACCCTGTAATACTCCATCCCCCAGACTCCCATCCAGTAATAGCCTAGCATCCTGTAATACTCCATCCCCAAGACTCCCATCCAGTAATAGCCTAGCGTCCTGTAATATTCCATCCCCAAGACTCCCATCCAGTAATAGCCTAGCACCCTGTAATACTCCATCCCCAGACTCCCATCCAGTAATAGCCTAGCACCCTGTAATACTCCATCCCCCAGACTCCCATCCAGTAATAGCCTAGCATCCTGTAATATTCCATCCCCAGACTCCCATCCAGTAATAGCCTAGCGTCCTGTAATATTCCATCCCCAGACTCCCATCCAGTAATAGCCTAGCACCCTGTAATACTCCATCCCCCAGACTCCCATCCAGTAATAGCCTAGCACCCTGTAATACTCCATCCCCCATACTCCCATCCAGTAATAGCCTAGCACCCTGTAATACTCCATCCCCAAGACTCCCATCCAGTAATAGCCTAGCACCCTGTAATACTCCATCCCCAGACTCCCATACAGTAATAGCCTAGCATCCTGTAATACTCCATCCCCAGACTCCCATCCAGTAATAGCCGAACACCCTGTAATACTCCATCCCCCATACTCCCATCCAGTAATAGCCTAGCACCCTGTAATACTCCATCCCCAAGACTCCCATCCAGTAATAGCCTAGCACCCTGTAATACTCCATCCCCAGACTCCCATACAGTAATAGCCTAGCATCCTGTAATACTCCATCCCCAGACTCCCATCCAGTAATAGCCGAACACCCTGTAATACTCCATCCCCCATACTCCCATCCAGTAATAGCCTAGCACCCTGTAATACTCCATCCCCCATACTCCCATCCAGTAATAGCCTAGCATCCTGTAATACTCCATCCCCCAGACTCCCATCCAGTAATAGCCTAGCATCCTGTAATACTCCATCCCCAGACTCCCATCCAGTAATAGCCTAGCACCCTGTAATATTCCATCCCCAAGACTCCCATCCAGTAATAGCCTAGCACCCTGTAATACTCCATCCCCCAGACTCCCATCCAGTAATAGCCTAGCACCCTGTAATACTCCATCCCCCAGACTCCCATACAGTAATAGCCTAGCGTCCTGTAATACTCCATCCCCCAGATTCCCATCCAGTAATAGCCTAGCACCCTGTAATACTCCATCCCCAGACTCCCATCCAGTAATAGCCTAGCACCCTGTAATACTCCATCCCCAGACTCCCATCCAGTAATAGCCTAGCACCCTGTAATACTCCATCCCCAGACTCCCATCCAGTAATAGCCTAGCATCCTGTAATACTCCATCCCCCATACTCCCATCCAGTAATAGCCTAACACCCTGTAATACTCCATCTCCCAGACTCCCATCCAGTAATAGCCTAGCACCCTGTAATACTCCATCCCATATCCCATCAGTAATAGCCCTAGCGTCCTATGACCTCCATCCCCAAGACTCCCATCAGTAATAGCCCTAGCACCCTGTATTACTCCATCCCCCAGACTCCATCAGTGTAGCCCTGGCACCCTGTAATACTCCATCCACCAGACTCCCATCCAGTAATAGCCTAGCACCCTGTAATACTCCATCCCCCAGACTCCCATCCAGTAATAGCCTAGCACCCTGTAATACTCCGTCCCCCATACTCCCATCCAGTAATAGCCTAGCACCCTGTAATACTCCATCCCCCATACTCCCATCCAGTAATAGCCTAGCACCCTGTAATACTCCATCCCCCAGACTCCCATCCAGTAATAGCCTAGCATCCTGTAATACTCCATCCCCCAGACTCCCATCCAGTAATAGCCTAGCACCCTGTAATACTCCATCCCCCAGACTCCCATTCAGTAATAGCCTAGCACCCTGTAATACTCCATCCCCCAGACTCCCATCCAGTAATAGCCTAGCACCCTGTAATACTCCATCCCCCAGACTCCCATCTAGTAATAGCCTAGCACCCTGTAATACTCCATCCCCCAGACTCCCATCCAGTAATAGCCTAGCGTCCTGTAATACTCCATCCCCAGACTCCCATCCAGTAATAGCCTAGCACCCTGTAATACTCCATCCCCAGACTCCCATACAGTAATAGCCTAGCGTCCTGTAATACTCCATCCCCCAGACTCCCATCCAGTAATAGCCTAGCATCCTGTAATATTCCATCCCCCAGACTCCCATCCAGTAATAGCCTAGCACCCTGTAATACTCCATCCCCCAGACTCCCATCCAGTAATAGCCTAGCACCCTGTACTCCATCCCCCTATACTCCCATCCAGTAATAGCCTAGCATCCTGTAATACTCCATCCCCAGACTCCCATACAGTAATAGCCTAGCACCCTGTAATACTCCATCCCCCATACTCCCATCCAGTAATAGCCTAGCACCCCGTAATACTCCATCCCCAGACTCCCATCTAGTAATAGCCTAGCATCCTGTAATACTCCATCCCCCAGACTCCCATCCAGTAATAGCCTAGCATCCTGTAATACTCCATCCCCCAGACTCCCATCCAGTAATAGCCGAACACCCTGTAATACTCCATCCCCCAGACTCCCATCCAGTAATAGCCTAGCACCCTGTAATACTCCATCCCCAGACTCCCATACAGTAATAGCCTAGCATCCTGTAATACTCCATCCCCAGACTCCCATCCAGTAATAGCCTAGCATCCTGTAATACTCCATCCCCCAGACTCCCATCCAGTAATAGCCTAGCACCCTGTAATACTCCATCCCCCAGACTCCCATCCAGTAATAGCCTAGCACCCTGTAATACTCCATCCCCAGACTCCCATCCAGTAATAGCCTAGCACCCTGTAATACTCCATCCCCAGACTCCCATCCAGTAATAGCCTAGCACCCTGTAATACTCCATCCCCAGACTCCCATCCAGTAATAGCCTAGCACCCTGTAATACTCCATCCCCAGACTCCCATCCAGTAATAGCCTAGCATCCTGTAATATTCCATCCCCAGACTCCCATCCAGTAATAGCCTAGCATCCTGTAATATTCCATCCCCCAGACTCCCATGCAGTAATAGCCTAGGGTCCTGTTATACTCCATTCCCCAGACTCCCATCCAGTAATAGCCTAGCACCCTGTAATACTCCATCTCCCAGACCCCCATCCAGTAATAGCCTAGCACCCTGTAATACTCCATCCCCCAGACTCCCATCCAGTAATAGCCTAGCACCCTGTAATACTCCATCCCCAGACTCCCATCTATTAATAGCCTAGCATCATGTAATATTCTAGCATCCCCACCTAGCATCCCCAGACTCCCATCCCATACGCATCGGCTGAGCACCCAACACATAAAGTCGCTCCAGCAAGCAGTGCCGGAACTACAGCACCAATACCAGCTCCATAAGCGCCGGTTCACTGCCAGGGAGACTCGTGGCGCCAAAATAATCTAAAGGTGCGTGGGTTATCGGAGAAGATCCCTGACGCAGAACTGCCACACTTTGCGAGGTGCTTGGTGGGGAGCTTACTACAACCCCGGCAGGCTAAAGCAGTGGTGATTGAAGGACAATTCCACATACCCTAACCCCTCAAAGCCCCGAACACAGCCTCCAGGGACCTGGTGGTCCGCTTCAGAAACTATAATACTCCATCCCACAGACTTCCATCCTAAACTGGGCTCTATTGTTAAAAACTCAGTTCTGATACCTGTTTCCAGTAATTTATTATTGATGTGGTCTCTTTTGTATAAGAGTTTAAGAATTGTCCCCCCTCTGCTATATCCTCTCTTACCTCCTCTATTTCCCTTTTGATGTCCATCGCTCGTTGTGTCACCGATCCTAAGATGGGGACGTTGATATTTGTGATGGATGGACTCAGGGTCTCCAAGCACAAAACTCTGTGTGGAGAGGCCATTTTGACCTCAACTGTAAAGAAAAAAAATGTTATTCTTAATAATTCCCAGTTCCCTTGTGTTCTCTGTGCCTTTTTAATGCCCAGGGAGAAGAGGTAACAAGACTGAAAACATCAACGTAATAACATGTTTACTGGTACAAATTAACACCATCACCACTATTGGTGTAATTTAACTCACTAATGCAGATATTTGGAATGCAGGTCATTCTGTACCTCATACTCTTCCCAAGTCTATTCAATGGCCTGTATCTAGCGTGGGCCTGACTGCAATGTGCTATGTGGCTCAATGTCTTCTGTTTACACCTTAAGCTGTCGATGGCCTAGAATCAGCCTTTTAGAACTGGTGTCTACCTCTTCTCTAGGGAGCTTGATTCAAGGAGAATTTACTAGATAGTTACCTTAAAAGACAATGTCCCGGCGGAGCATGGCTGCTGTAGCGACTGGTCGCATGATCCTAGAGCTTCCAACAATAACGACTAAAATTGGGCAATACTGCCTATATAACTGCACTCAGTGTTTTGCAGGACCCCCCTTGTCATTAAGACTAAGATAGGATGCAAAACCAAGAAGCCCAGACCAGACAAGCCCAGTCTGGGGCTAAAAATCTGCGATCTGCAACTGGGCCCAAGAGTCTCCGGAGGCTACTCATTTGGAGCCGAAGAGGAGTACCCACCAGCACCAGAGAGCTGGGAGAGGGAGAGCAGAGGGCCCAGACACATCTATACAGACAAAATCAATACTACAGGAGATGCTGGCCAAACTCCAGAGAAATATCTCGGCGGACATAGCAACAATCCCCGGGGACCTGGGGGGCCTCATGTGCCGCATCAGCAGAGCACCCAACACATAAAGTCGCTCCAGCAAGCAGTGCCGGAACTACAGCACCAAAACCAGCTCCATGAGAAAGACTCCCGGCGCCAAAATAATCTAAAGGTGCGTGGGTTATCGGAGGAGATCCCTGACACAGAACTGCCACACTTTGTGAGGTACAACCCCGGCAGGCTAAAGCAGTGGTGACTGAAGGACAATTCCACATACCCTAACCCCTCAAAGCCCCGAACACAGCTTCCAGGGACCTGGTGGTCCGCTTCAGAAACGGGTCAGACAAAACAGCGGTCCTGACTGCTTTAAGAGGAAACTCACCTTACCATTACGAGAATATGCCCCTCCCCTTCTACGCTGACCTCTCGTGGGTACCTTAGCTTGGAGGAACTCGTTCAAGTCATTCACCACGCTCCTGCAACGGAACAATATCCGATATGGAATGGAAACTCTTTCGCACATTAGTAGTGCATCAGGGGGACACTCCGCATGCTATTCACAACGTTCAAGAGGCTGCCGGACTGATACCAAAACCCCCAGATGCACTCACCCGAGACAAACAGTCTACGACACCGCAACACTCTCACTTCTGGGACCCTGCGAGCATCCCCCCTTTTGTCCCACGACAGCGCACCTCTGATTTGTATGCAGCTGCCACCACTTGAAAATGAGCAACTTATTACTGGGGATCTCCTGGACGCTAACATGTTTTGATTTGTGTCCCCTTTATTTTAACGTTTTAACAAACCCTCACTGTTGAATGTTTACTTAGTGTTGCACACCACTGACCCCGAGCAGCAGTAATAATGTCCAATCACATACAGACAGGTCCTATCAGTCACATACAAAACTTTGGGTGGGGCAGTTGAGATGCACTATTGGCTCCAACAGCACCACTGTCTTTATACTCACAGGAGCACGCACTTAGCCCGATACTAGACAAGGAAGAAGGCCCCTAGACAGAACATATCCCTCTAGAGACCTAGTCCAATATATTGGGATCCACTAAACTCGGAGGGACCGGTCCGGAGGTAGGGTCACTCCCTAGGAAGTACTCCACACTTCCCTGTTAGCAATCTCTCCAGCAACATAACATTACCTATCAGCTTAGCAGATCTGAAGAACACAACCCAACAGGCGGTGCTTCCTTGTCTGAAAGTGTTACACTACAAAACCCCTACCCCTTAGCTAGATAAAAAGGACGATTCAAAGGCTTTTATCACTCAAACAAGAGATTTTATTAGATACCTGGGTAGCCTGGACCCCGAGGAGGGCAGGCTGACCCTCACACTGCATTTATGTTCTACCTAGGTTATTTTTATCATTTTATCGGTATCCTTAACGTTGTTTTTCTTTCTTTACAAACTTTGGTCATGGGAATGACTGTATAATTGTTTACCTTGACAAGTAATTCCCATGATGCTTACTGTACAGCTTGCATTGTTAGGAATATATAGTTTTCTTTTAGGAAGCTGCAATAGTATTAACCTGGACATTGGGACTGGGCTAGTGTACAGACCAGAAGATGAGCCAAAGCAATCCATATCCTTTCTCCATAACCAAGTGTAATAGATGCCCTGTTTGTTGGATTTATAATTTAGTTGCTGCTCTGAACTAATTATTACAATACCCTTCACCTAAACCGTCATACGAATTCAAACAAATAAACTGTACTCAATGGGTTTGTTTACCAGAGGGATTTGGTCGTCGAGTCTGGAACTAATTTCGGACACTCGATCTCCCGAACACCACTGAGACTTCCAGGACCACTTATATTCATGATAATCCATCCGAAGAAGGTGGCATTCGGTAGAAACTATATACAATAGAAGCGGCACACGACCATCAAACGCACAAACGATTATGTGAACTGTTTGTTCGACATTTCATGGTACTATTCTGGGCAGGAGCATCGTGTGCGGCCGGGCAGAAATGGGACTTCCAGCTAACTCCCGAACACCTTAACCGATTTGCATGATTTTTGATATGTTGTTCCCCTAACTATCAGAAAATATATGTTTTATGGGGTTTGGATGTAATGTTTGGGGTATTTCTGAAAATGGGAAACATTTTCATTTTTTCGTTTGGAGATAATTGATTTGATACAGTAATTAACTCAATAATCTCCTAAGCAGAGGGGAGGAATTGTGTGTAATGAATGGGAGTGTTTCATAATGCGATTTACTGTTTATTAGTTGTACACTGTTTTTCCCTGTGCCCAACTAGGTCCACCTGGGTGGTAACCTTTTGGGAATAATTGCATAAAAGGCCAGCCTGGCCCCATTAAAAATTAGTTCTGCTCAACCCTCAACACATAGCTTTGTCTCGTGCTTGTAGGGAACCTGCTTCACAGCTTATCACTAGCTCTTGTAAGAGCTCTACTATACCTTCAACTACTGGTTCGGCTGAGATGACAACTGGAGAATCTGCAGCACAGCTCCTCTAAAGGGAAAAGGACGTCTCGAAAGGCATACACCCTGTAACGGAGCTTCCTGTACCCTGGATGGGTACCTCCGCTGACGGATACTCCTAGTGCTCACCGAGAACTCCAAGCACTCCACCAGACACCATGAGCACCGCAGTCCCCACATCAATCGTTACAGCTTGGCTGGGAACTCGCCGTCCTCTACCCACCCTGGACCTACAACAAGGCTCCAGGTTCCAGTGGGTGAACCTCTCCTCCAAGAGAGAGTAGCAGGAACAAGCTCTTAAAAGAGCTTAGTGATTATTATCCCTGGGGAGTATAGTGATATAGCAATCCCCAGGGTAGATGCAGCCTTTCCTCCCCACACATGAGGCAAGGGTAAAACAGGAACTCAGCAGATCTGAGGGTTTATTGAACAGCTTGGTCTTTTATACAGATTTCCCCACAAGGTTACCACCCAGGTGGACCTTGTGGGGCACAGGGACACAGGAACAACAAGCCAATAAAAACATAGTTTTACATTCAGTCACTCCTGTTACAAAAGCTCTACAGACTGTTACAATATTGCTCTTTTCTGTTTCCACACAGAACCTTATTTCAGTATTTTAACCATGTAGCCTAATTCCCGGACCGATTTCCCGTTACCCATTCGTGTATACGAACAACGGACCACCCGGCCCCTGGCGTGTGCCGCCACTTAACCCTTGTCACCTTTCCAATACCCGAACAGCGACCACCCTACGAGCGTAGCGTGTCTCTAATTAATCGCCAAGAGAGCTGCGGTCTGCTGTTAACCACAGCCTAATTGACGGTCCCAGGGCATTCCCGTTCGTGCACTATTTCCCGAACTAAAACTACCGAAAGACTCACGAACGAGGACCACCTACATCCTGGCGTATGGCCCCAATTAGAATGTTGGTTTTGCGGTTAACCGAAGGTTAAGTACCCCTCCCCGGCGGTCTACGTTCGTTTCCTGAATGGTTGGGACAACCATCAGGAGATCAGGGATTCGTGTAAACCCCTGGCCGCTATTCGTTCCATGAGTTTGGGGTCGAGGTCCCGCTGCCCATTAACTTACCTGAAAACATGGCCGCCGTCTCAGGTTCGGGACAAAAGACATGAACAGACTTTATATTGATGGAACTAACCATACCGTTCGTGAGTTCTGAGTGCTATTCAACTATCTGCTGAGCTCAGATCTGGGCTACATAATGAACGGTAGAATGCACGAATTGTCTATTAAAATGCTAAAGTTATGTATTTTATACTGTTTTGTATGTCGCAAGAAAACGTGGGATTTGGGGCGCTTGGAGATAATTACATTGTCATAAGCGTTGGATTCATTATCTCCAAGCTGGGCGGTAACAATTTCAAAAGATACATTGTGTTTCTATTGGTTAACTGCTTGCATTGTCCCTGTATACCATCAGGTCCAGAGGGGACCTGAGATTTCGCATAAATAGTGATACCTGTGTGCCATTAAAGCCAGTTCTTTCTTGACCCTCAAATCGCAGCCTCGACTCGTTTTGTGGGTAAAAGGTTATCCTAGCTGTACCATAGCTAGTGGGATTATCCTACATTTACAGGATTCTGTGGTATACTGACTGGATCGGCTCTTCTCTCTCTCTACATCGGGGAACCAGACTATCCAAGCGGTCCAGCTTCCAGCTAGCCTGGAGGTAACTGTAACAACTCCCATACAGTGTACACAATCCCTCCCCTCTGCCTGTGATATAATTAACAAAGACAATGGACTAACTCAATTAACTCTAAGCAGAAAAAACATAATTTTTTACAAACCCCGAAAAGTACCCCATAATACAACATATCCCCACAAAGGGGTACGCCCACATGTAGGGGAACTGAGTTACAATATTCACAGATCAATAAGAACAGTGTTCCAGTGCACAACACTCCCACATATAGCATACAATCCTTCCCCTATGCCAGGAAGATAATTGAGTAAGTTACTGTATTAACCCAATTATCTTCAGGCAGAAAAAACACATTTCTATAAAGTCCCAAAAGTACCCCAAAACACATATCTCCACAAAAGATAGCCCCGATCTGGGTGAACAACATATCCAAAAATCACCCAGATCGGTTCAAAGGTTCAGGAATTTCCTGGAAGTCTTATTTTTGCCCCACCGTACACATGGTCCCATGCCCAAAACAGTTCCATACACTCAAGACAAAACACTGCTGGACAATTTAAGATGGCCATTGCCACATGTTTGAATCTGTTCCAGTTAAAAGTCCAATGGGCAGAAACAGTACTTTTGAACATGGGTTATCACAGGGCCCATAGTCCCAGGGTAGGAGGCTGGCAAACAGGCCCCTCCAAAAACCAGTAGCGAGGTTACTTTCGCCACACACCCCTCTGACACTCAAGGTGGCCGTTACAACAAGCAACATCTCCTACAGAGACACATTAAACCTTTTCTGTGTCTATGGTTTCTCATACCGTGGCTGAGGATTAGAGACCCACGACACTGGCTATACCCTAAGTGAATGTAGCGGATCGGCAGTATTAAATCCACGAATTCCGCTGGGGCAGAAAGTAATCCACAGTCAAGCACTGAAAAGCAAGGCAATATCCCAAATCTCCCAGTAACCGGACGAAACACAGGTCTGAGAGTCAACTGAAGGCTTTATTCACAGGCTCCACAATTTCTACAATTTCCCATGCAAGGGGTTTCCTGAGTCACATCCCAGGGGCATTCCCAGAGTGGACTACGTGGGGAACTTAATGTACAGAGCCTTTCCCCCATCAGGCACTGCTGCACGAGAGGGATCCTCCCACTGGAATGTACCGTTAAGTGGATTATCCCTCCGTGCAGCAGAACCGGCAATTTACCTTAAAATGTACAGTTCTTCGACTATTTGGTCTATTTGCACGAATGGGCATTTGGTAGATAGCTGGGGTCTGAGCGCATCATTCGTGAGATTACCGCTCAGATCCCAGCTAAAACAACTGAACGCCGCACGAAAAACACATTTATTAAAACACACATTCAAAAGACCGATTGAAGTATAGGGAATAAAATACCGAATGTCCCGGACCTCCCGAACGTCCTGGAGGCTCAGCGGTGTTCGCGCCGTCGAGTAGCCGTTTTTAGTACCACGCACTCAACGACCAAACACCGCTGAGGGAACAAAGGATCCAAGATGGCCGACTGCCGCATGGTCGGTAGTCGAACGGTGGCCACCTAGGAGAGCCTCTAATAACATTGTTGCAATTGGTTAACAAGCGCCACAAGCAACCCTTAAAGGTACAGTCTCTTTATATTGTCCAAGTGGCTAGGTTTGCCACAGTGAACATCCTACAAAGAGCATGCTGCACAAGGGCAGGAGTTTCATCCACAGGTCTAGATGAATGTATACCTGTGGGTATTTGATATTAGTTTTCTTTTTAAATTTGATTAAGGTTTTGTAACCCCTTCCTCTATCCTATACATCTGAAGGTAGTTTCAGCAATTGCCGTTTTTCTGTGCTTCGAAGGTCAATTCGGCTTCTCCCCCTTCATATGAGTGTTTGTTTTATATTGTTTGCCTATTTCCTGACAGCCAGGTTGTTTTGACCTCAGTCCTGATATGGCCTTGGCTCCTGCAGTCTGTGACGGGTTTCGAAAAAGGTTGATATATACAGCCGCCTGCTCCTCCTACAGACAAGCCAGGAGAGCACTCTTCAGGGAAAGAAACTCAGTGAACTATAAGGCCAGTCAAAACTTTTACACTGAATGGATCTGAGCATTATTTGGACAACCTGGGTGCTTGGGTCCGGGCTATCAGGGGATATAGGACATGTGGGGTTCCCATGTGGATTTAATGGGGTTTTGGGGTGTTTTATGTGTATGTGTGTTTCTGTATGTATCCCTGTAACTGGAAGATCATTGAATTACCAGGATTTTGACTAAATTATCAGGGCAGATTTTTCGAGATTCAATGTACGATATACAAGTGATGTATAGCAGGAATGTCTAAATGTGCATCAAATTTAGGGGAGATTCATTTATTTGGTCTTACTGCAACTTAATCGTCACCTACATATACATCTAACAGACATATCTATAATGTTTGAGTGAAAGGGGGATACTGTGTCTGTGTATCACTTTATAGCTCTAATCCTAGCTTTACTTCTAAACCTAATCCTCATGCTAATTGTAACCCTAATTCTAGCTCTAATCCTAAACCCAACTCTTTTTTGTAATCATGATCAAATCCTAATCCTTCCTCTACTTCTAAACCTAACCCTTGCTCTAATTGTAACTGTAAAGGCACCCTCAGCATAAAAGGGTTAAACCGCTGTTTAGAAGATCTTCCCCTTCCAGAGATACAGGCACAGCTACTGCAGAACACCTAACTCCCGAACCACATATAAGGGAATGCTCTAAACTCCCGAACTGGATACAAGATAGCACTCCAAACTCCTGAACTGGAACCTCACGAATAGCTGCTAGCAGACGAATAGGAAAAGCACCCAAGCGGCTTACACTCCTAGCAATCAGTCTCTATCAGCATACAGTAAATCCCCCCAAGGACGAGACAAGGCTCCGTGTTGAGGGTCAAGCAGTGGTCTGTTTTAATGAGGGCTACCTGCCCAGTATTTATGCAGGTCTCCTAGGGGACCAAATGGGAGACTGTAACAAAGGACAGACAAGTATCAATTTAGGACATACAGTTACAATATATTCCCACAATGCATCCTGGCTTCCTCCCCTCTGCCCTGGAGATAATTGAAAAGTAATTCAATTATCTCCCAGGACAAAGGCAAATCGCCATTATGCACGTGGGGATACCAATATAGGAATTACTGTTAAAATCCCCCATGTTAAAAGGTTACAATAAATATATACATTTAACATATCCCCAGATAGCCCAGGTCTGAGCGCACATTATTAAGCGAATGGTGCTCAGACCACACAAATACAGTTCAATCGCCATGGAGCTAAAGTCTTTAATTCCACGAACAGGCTCCATGGCAGGCTATCTGGGTACTTTTACACTGAATACATTGCAACACTAAAAGTCCCGAATGCTCCGCTGTTCGGTTCCCGAACGGGTTTGCAGACCTCCAGCCTCAGGGGTGCTTGGAAGACAAAGTGTCCGCTTTTGGTGTCCTGCCGCTGGGTAGAACAAGAGCTGACTACCTGGGGGGGGGCTTCCATAACACCGCCATCGTGTGGAGGCTAGATGTAACCGCGACCACCCAGTGATTGTCAATTAAGCTGCGGTTAACCGCAGCTTCAGGGAGGTAAATCGCCGACACACTCCAGCTCCCAGGTGCTCCAGTCATTCGTGCGTTTGTTCGGTACATAGAATTTACCGAACACCCTGGCAGAAAGGAACGAGCAAGCCTTTCTGCAGGGGAAAATACAAGTTTTACCATGGGGCCATAGTCCAGAGGCAACAGGCGAGCAACCAGGCTGCTCCAATGAAATGGGGCGAGATTGCTCGTCACAGTAACCCTAATCCTAGCTCTAATACTAAAACTAACCCTAGCTCTAATTGTAACCCTAATCCAAGCTCTAATTGTAACCCTAATCCTAGCTCTCATACTAAAACTAGCTCTAACTGTAACCCTGATCCTAGCTCTAATACTAAAACTAACCCTAGCTCTATTTGTAACCCTAATCCTAGCTCTAATACTAAAACTAACCCTAGCTCTAATTGTAGCCCTAATCCAAGCTCTAATTGTAACCCCAAACTTAGCTCTAATACTAAAACTAACCCTAGCACTAATTGTAACCCTAATCCTAGCTCTAATACTAAAACTAGCTCTAACTGTAACCCTGATCCTGGCTCTAATACTAAAACTAACCCTAGCTCTAATTTTAACCCTAATCCTAGCTCTAATACTAAAACTAACCCAATCTCTAATTGTAACCCTAATCCAAGCTCTAATTGTAACCCTAATCCTAGCTCTAATAGTAAAACTAACCCTAGCTCTAAATAATTGTAACCCTAATCCAAGCTCTAATTCTAACCCTAATCCTAGCTCTAATACTAAAACTATCTCTAACTGTAACCCTGATCCTATTTCTAATACTTAACCTAACCCAGCTCTAATTGTAACCCTAATCCTAACTCTAATACTAAAACTAGCTCTAAATGTAACCCTAATCCTAGCTCTAATCTTAAACCCAACCCTAGCTCTAATCATGATCTTAGCTCTACTTCTAAATCTAAGCCAAGCTCTAATTGTAACTGTGATCCCAACTCTAATCCTAAACCTAACCACAATCCTAGCTGTAATTCTAACCTTAGTTCTTATTCTAATCCTAGCTCTAATTTTAAACCTAACCATAATCCTTGCTTTAATTGTAACCCTAATCCTAGCTCTAATCACATCCCAACCCTACCACTAATACTTGCTCTACTTCTAACCGCAACCTTAGCTCTAATCCTAAATCTAACCACAATCCTATATGTAATTCTAACCCTAGTTCTTATTCTAACCCTAATCCTAGCTCTAATCCTAAACCTAATCGTAATCTTAGCTCTAATTCTAACTTTGTATAGATTGTGTAGGTTGTTCCTGTGACGGTAGCAGGTGATTTACAAATTATGCATTTACAGTGTAATAACTCTGCAGAGCCCTCTGTTGACAGAATGGACATGTGTAAATTTGCATAGAGTTGGTATGAAAATTAGTGTAATCATATTTCTATATCAGTAACACAGCAATATGTGTCACAGGAATTACATCAAAACACAAAAATTAAACCAGAACAAACAGTGCTCAAAGGTGGGACAATAGGTGAAAAATAGTGCTTTGCAAGCTGACTTTATTAAGCGTATATGTGTAAAATAGTAGTATCTAATGGATGATTTCTCTCTCTCGCAGCCGATGATATAAAGAATATATTACTGAAAAATATTGTCATAAAATGATCACTGGGGGAACACTAACAGTGCGGGGACAGGGTTAGTCCCAATATCCCCGACCGCCATGATACTACCCCCGTCCAACACGCAGATTCATATTACCAGTCCTTAGATTTGGCCAGGCTTAACACAGAGATAAGAAACAGGCACAGGGAGAGGTTAAATGGGTCAAGGGGTACGCAATGGCGAATGGAGGAACTAGCTGGAGTCAAAATACCTAGAGACACAACGAACAGAATTCACTGTGAGATCTCCTTAACAGAGCACGGCACAACCAGCAGAATGGGTTTATATGGCCTTAGAGATAGTCTGAGAGGTTGGTGTCATTTCTGCAACACTAAACCAGTACAGACATAATGTTTCACAGGTGATGCAGGCACGTGGGCGTTTATATTTACACAGGACAACCCAGTGGGTTTACAGCAACCAGTGTCCATAATGAGCCCAGAATGACACGGGTCACCGGAATCTGTGGCAAAGTGACCCACAGGAGGGGGAGACCTAACAGGACCACTGTAGGCACCCAGACCACTTCAGCTTAATGAAGTGGTCTGGGTGCCAGGTCCATCTAGGATTAACCCTTTTTTCTATAAACATAGCAGCAGAGGCGGCTCTCTAATTAGGTGGTTTAGGCAGCCGCCTAAGGCCTCGCACTGGCTGGGGCCTTGCGGCCGCCTAAACCACCTGTGGGCGCACTGTGTCAGGTCCTCGGTCAGTGACCGAGGACCCGACACCAGGAGGGGGCTCGGCGGCTTGCCTGGTATGCCGCCGGATGCGAGGCCCCTCCTGGCTGCCGGGCCAGCCAATGCAGACACCAGCTCCGCGTTGCCGCTCTGATGGTCTCGCGAGATTACATAATGGCCGGACCACCAGGGAGCCCACTGGACCACCAGGGAAGAAAAGGTAGGTTCTCTCTCACCCTCCTCACTTCAGCCTCACCATCCCCCTTCACCCCCCGCCTCACCACCCCCACCACCCTTAGCCTCACCACCTCCCCTTCACCCTCAGCCTCACCCCCCCTTCACCCTCAGCCTCACCACCCCTTCCCCTTAGCCTCACCCCCTTCAGCCTCACCACCCACCACCCCCTCAGCCTCACCCACCCCCACCACCCTCAGTATCACCCCCCACCACCCTCAGCCTCACCACCCCCTTCAGCCTCACACCCTCCCTTCAACCTCACCCTCCCCCACCACCCTCAGCACCACCCCCCTCACCATCACCACCCTCAGCATCACCACCCTCAGCATCACAACCCCACCACCCTCTCACTCACAGTGAGAAGACGCCAGTGTCCATAGAAAAGCATTGAGAATGCTTTCCTATGGACTGGTTGAATGCGCGCGCGGCTCCTGCTGCGCATGCGCATTCAGCCGAAGATGAGGAGGAGAGCTCTCCGCACGACGCTGGAGAAAGAGGTAAGTTTAACCCCTTCCTCCCCCTAAAGCCTGGCGGGAGGGGGACCCTGAGGGTGAGGACACCCTCAGGGCACTATAGTGGTCCTTTAAATAACGCTGTGTATGGAGGTTTCATCTAACGGAGGTAAAATAGCTGCATAAAGCAGTATTAATATGACTTTGTAAACAACCTTGGGCTGCCCATTGTTTTTAAATATATATATTTACTTTTAGGAGACATATCAAACAGGGGGGAACAACGTTTCCCAAACAGTAAGTTACTCTTAAAATAAGAAAACTGCAATCCACCCCCCAGCCCCCAAAATCGGTCCAGTATCTTCCATATAAACATGATAAATGAATGTTTGTTAGGTATTCTCGTACTCAGGATGTAGAACACAATCCAGTATTTCACAAAAATTAATCCATATCAGCAACTATGGAGAAATGAAGCATTGCGGTGTTACTATAGCTAGAGATTCGAACAGAATGTGAGTGTGAAGGGTGATACAATGTCCTGCAGTGAGTCCATTCCATATTATTTGTGGAGTCATTTATAGTGGAGCTGATATACTGCCACAGGGAGACACGGCCTCAGTAAAGGCTGGAGACTGAGCACGTCTCAACAGAAAACCATGAGAAATCCTGTGTATATCAGCCTGCTAACTGTGAGAAAACATAGCAGGTATTCTCCTATAGGTACACATCATTTAAAGAATCTAGTCTAATGTAAAGTGTTCCTCTCTGGGCCCTTTCACTGTCCAGTGACTCTCCCACCCAAGCCTAGCATTCTCATTACCTCTGCTCAGCCGCTCTCCGATCTATGGGACTCTGGATATTAAATGTTCAGTTTTCCAGGTTCTGTAGCTACCTCTTGCTTAATGAATGAGGATTCCAGGAAATTTAGGAATAAATGTCACGCAGGTTGCACATTACAAAATCTTTGACCCCTGGTGTCTGTGTTTACACAATGTCAGCAATTTTTATTGGACTGAGAACATGGGCTCTAATGGCTTAACATGATAAATCTGCTCTACTTTCCACATCCATTAAATTAAAATGTAATATTAACTGACAGAGAAAAATAAACAAATATTCATATAGCATTGATAAAATCTCACCTTATAGCTGCAGTTATAATACACTGTGTGCGGGGAGACAGAGGACCTCCTTACACCATAACCTTATAGCTGCAGTTATAATACACTGTGTGCGGGGAGACAGGGGACCTCCTTACACCATAACCTTATAGCTGCAGTTATAATACACTGTGTGCGGGGAGACAGGGGACCTCCTTACACCATAACCTTATAGCTGCAGTTATAATACACTGTGTGCGGGGAGACAGGGGACCTCCTTACACCATAACCTTATAGCTGCAGTTATAATACACTGTGTGCGGGGAGACAGGGGACCTCCTTACACCATAACCTTATAGCTGCAGTTATAATACACTGTGTGCGGGGAGACAGGGGACCTCCTTACACCATAACCTTATAGCTGCAGTTATAATACACTGTGTGCGGGGAGACAGGGGACCTCCTTACACCATAACCTTATAGCTGCAGTTATAATACACTGTGTGCGGGGAGACAGGGGACCTCCTTACACCATAACCTTATAGCTGCAGTTATAATACACTGTGTGCGGGGAGACAGGGGACCTCCTTACACCATAACCTTATAGCTGCAGTTATAATACACTGTGTGCGGGGAGACAGGGGACCTCCTTACACCATAACCTTATAGCTGCAGTTAGAATACACTGTGTGCGGGGAGACAGGGGACCTCCTTACACCATAACCTTATAGCTGCAGTTATAATACACTGTGTGCGGGGAGACAGGGGATCTCCTTACACCATAACCTTATAGCTGCAGTTATAACACACTGTGTGCGGGGAGACAGGGGACCTCCTTACACCATAACCTTATAGCTGCAGTTATAATACACTGTGTGCGGGGAGACAGGGGATCTCCTTACACCATAACCTTATAGCTGCAGTTATAATACACTGTGTGCGGGGAGACAGGGGACCTCCTTACACCATAACCTTATAGCTGCAGTTATAATACACTGTGTGCGGGGAGACAGGGGACCTCCTTACACCATAACCTTATAGCTGCAGTTATAATACACTGTGTGCCGGGAGACAGGGGACCTCCTTACACCATAACCTTATAGCTGCAGTTATAATACACTGTGTGCGGGAAGACAGGGGACCTCCTTACACCATAACCTTATAGCTTCAGTTATAATACACTGTGTGAGGGGAGACAGGGGATCTCCTTACACCATAACCTTATAGCTGCAGTTATAATACACTGTGTGCGGGGAGACAGGGGACCTCCTTACACTATAACCTTATAGCTGCAGTTATAATACACTGTGTGCGGGAAGACAGGGGACCTCCTTACACCATAACCTTATAGCTTCAGTTATAATACACTGTGTGAGGGGAGACAGGGGATCTCCTTACACCATAACCTTATAGCTGCAGTTATAATACACTGTGTGCGGGGAGACAGGGGACCTCCTTACACTATAACCTTATAGCTGCAGTTATAATACACTGTGTGCGGGGAGACAACATAACCTTATAGCTGCAGTTATAATACACTGTGTGCGGAAGACAGGGAACCTCCTTACACCATAACCTTATAGCTGCAGTTATAATACACTGTGTGCGGGGAGACAGGGGACCAGCTTACACCATAACCTTATAGCTGCAGTTATAATACACTGTGTGCGGGGAGACAGGGGACCTCCTTACACCATAACCTGCAGTTATAATACACTCCACAATTTACTTGCTGCTATTGGTATAACTTGTTATGTCTAGGCAGTTGATCCTGACCTGTACACAAATATAAATATATATTGTGACGAGAGCAATCTCGCCACATTGCATTGGAGAAGCCGGGTTGCTCGCCTGTTGCCTTTGGACTATGGCCCCATGTTAAAAGGCTTGATTTTCCCCTGCAAAGACAAGAAAGCCGGGTCATTTGGTGCTTGCCCTGTTTGAGCAGTGATACCCCAGATAGCTATGCCATGGAGCCCATTTGTATAATGAAAGACTATGGGAAAGACTTTGGCTCCATGGCAATTGAACTGTATGTGTGTGCTCTGAGCGCCATTCAGTAATAATGTGATGGGATTCCAGCATGGTCAAAATTTAGTAGGCCAAAATCTCCATGTGGCATATGTGTATGTTGTGTCAGTTGGTTAGCTACATGTAGCTAGGATACTGTCATCAGTGTACTGAGCATGTGCAGGAATGCAGGAACTGAAATTGCACTTATTTCCTTTGTCTTGGATGAGCCATGTGGTTTGACTAGATGTACAAGTCTATATTCTGCTCATTGATTGGTTAAAGGTATATGTGGGTGTAGCTATTAATGGGAGGAGTTATAGTGCTATATAAGGAATGTACACCATGTGTTGGTCTCTCAGATCTTTTGGAACAGGAGTTCATCTGAGACCCGATCGGTAATGTGAATAAAGGCCTGTTACTTCCTGAAGACCTGTGTCCAATATTTCTGTGTTTGGCTTCTGCATGCTTACACTGCAACATCTCTGGTGCATTGGCAGTGGGAACCTCATTTGCATGGAAGCTGGCGCAGAGATTTGAGACGGTAAACTTTTACCAAACCTTCTACGCTACAATCCTGGACTTCTACTGCGTGGACCTCCTTTCGTCTCGGCGCCACTGGCCTTTTGTCCAGGAGATCATCGGCTTCTGCGCAGTGAGTCCCGGATTGTTCCGTCTATGAGTGAACCCAGGTCCAGAAATTAACAGGTAAGATTGATACCGTTAGAGCGGTAGACCCACAAGGGGTTTTATATTTGGAACCGGTTATTGGAATCTGCCCTGTCCTGATGGATGGAAGAAGTGAAAAGCGCAACACTTACCTGGAAATTAGACGCTCTGTAGTCAGCCCGTCTAATATAGGTGGTTTGGGTCAGACTGAGTTCTGGTGTAAATAGCTCATGTCGGACACCGGTGTCCTGTCTTGACTAGCGTATCTAGGGTGTAAATTCTGTTCGCTAGGTCGGGGGGACCGGGAGACTAGCATACTCTGTTGTATATTATAGTTTGCTAGATTTCACCCTATCTTAACTAAGTGTGCTCTGTTGTAAATCCAGCCACTAGCTTATTGATGGTTTCATAGACTAGCTGGGTACTGTGTAAATTCTGCCCTCTAGTTCGCTATACGTGGTGTCTGGGCAGCGAAGAACTTATCGAATCTCTGGTGTATAAATAGATCGAAAGCTCTCGAGGTGCTGGCCAGTTAGAATAGTTGGGATTATTGTAAATGTTGTTAAATATATTGTAGTTGGTGAATTGGTTAACTTGTATGTCCTACTAGAAAGTTAGAGCTCTGCTGTCTAGTGGGAGTGTAAATTGTGTGTATAACTGTAAAATAGCGCACGGTACCATAACTACTGACATGTACCATAACCACTGACATTGTGTAAAAATTACTAACAATTGCTGTTTTATGTTATATGTATAATACCATAACTGTTACTAACTGATCTGTGACTTTAAAACTGTATTATAACCACTTACTAACTGTACCATAACCACTGACTGTAAAGATGAGGTTACTAGAATGTGATATAGTTGGTTAGTCAAAAGTTGATTTATAGTACGGATACTTGTAGAGATGAAATTGTTGAAATGTTATGTGATCGGTTAGTTTATATGGATTAATAGCGTGGATAGTTGTATGGTTTGAATAATAGTTACATTGATGAGTGTATAGTCTTTGGTGGGTTTTTGATTTAATTTTGTGTGTGCGACGTCGTGATATTGTTGAGCATGTGAGGATCCTGTGTGTGTGTTTGGGCCTAGTGACTGCGCAATGTGTTGCTGGTGATAAGGAGATTGGTGTGACTGTTGAAACTGTGTGTATATTTGTACAGCTTTTTGAATCAGACGTTCTGTTGCAATGATCTTCTGATTCACTAGGCTGTTGTCTTTTGTCTTGTATGTTTAAAAAAAAAAAAGTAGAGAGTAGCCTGTCCTGGTGGCTGCATGGCCTCCATGTAGCAGTCTTCACTTAAATTTAGTGCAGGGTGTACATGTGGCTGTAACTAGTAGGCTGGAATTCTATGATCAGTTTCTATATATTGACTGTTGGAAACTGATTGTTGAAAAACTGCCTTGGTGAGTTAAACTGTGTCATATGAGAAACAATGTAGCCATATGGTGGTCAGAACTAAGGACTTAATTACAACTGCTTTGGACATCCCCTCCCCCCCTGTCATCTGATTACCCACCCCCCAAACATCCTCCAGAGCCAGATTAGCCACGCCCCTATTCTTCTTCCCAAGCTAAGAACTGGTATATAGTCAGTATTTGCACTCCCCCTGCTCTACTGTCCCCGCCTACCCACATACCTATCTGTTCTTGTGTTTCAAACTCTTGTATTTCTGTACTACCCCTCCCCCTAACCCCTTCCCCTAATCAATGATCAATGGTATCAGATGGTATATGGTCTTTTTTTTAGTTACTGGATGGGCCCCTCCCAGCTTTGTCCAAAATGTCCCCTTTTACTAAACTACAAACTGAAATGTTTAATTTAACTTAGAACTAAAGATTTAATCAAGTCTAGATATCAGGGTGGACAGTGATTAAAATAAGTAATAATAAAATAGGGACATAATTAATTAAAGTCTATTTGCTTCATTAGACTTTAGGGAGGCACTCTAAGCCACCTACGGGCCATCTTCGGGAGTTACATTGATAATACATTGTTTATAACAGATAGAAGTAGGATTGCTTACCCCCTTTTAATATATTTATTGCTATAAGGTTTTATTTTATGTATAAATATATTAAAAGTTGAGTTTTCTTATTAAACCCATAAAGATTATTTTGATACAA